AATTTCATGTTGTTAATACCTACTCATTTGATCAAAAATGATACTCCTTCAATTTTTAATATAAGACTTGATTAGAGAGTTGATATTGGTCCTACATGTAAGACGTATTTCACAAGTCTACCAATTTTTTCTTAAATTGACCCTATTGATATTCTCCAAACAATAATTAAATAGGAAGGGGAGGAAAATAATTAAAAAAAATGATTAGGATGTTTTAAAAAGACATACTACCTCCGATCCTAATTATAAGAGCCAATTGATTAATTTGAGGAGATTAAGGAAGTAAGTTGAATTAGTTATTTGTCCTAAATAGGTGTTATCTTTACTAAAATATATTTGCTAATCAAGTGTATTGACTATAACTATCATTGTTAGAAGGGTTACTTTGAAAAAAAAAATGTATAAATATGAAAGACAAAGTAGATTGGGTTTTATATTTAAGACCAACATAAAAGTTCAACAGGGTCTTATATTAAGGATCGGAGGTAGTATCATATTAACTAATTTAAAACTAATATTCTTAATTTAGTTTAGTTGATAATGTTTTATATCAACGTTATCCTGAGGGTAACATCAATCTCTTTCACACGAAGGATGTGGCTGTTCAAAGAATATCCTTTCCTTGCTGGGCTGGAGATGCTTCGCAGTCCGTTCATACGTTATGGACGCAATGAAAACGACCAGACCAGAACCAAATCTTGAAGGTGGCAATTAATGAGTGGTGTATTTATTATTTATATACTTTCCGCTCTTTAATATAAAATTTATTTAATTAATTTGAATAGATTAAAAAAAATAGATAAATTAGTTAATTATAAAAAATATGACATGTTTTTTTCTCTAAAATACCATAATAATATCTTTTAATATCCTCCCTTCATGCCCTACTTGATTATGGATTAGGGACTATCAATAGAGGTATTTTAAAAAAATTGATAAATGTGATAAATAAGTCTTATATTTAGAACCAAAATTAAGTCAATAATTAGGTCTTATATTAAGAACAGAAAGAGCATATATGAATTAATTAATAATTAATGGAGCAATGTTGTGAAAAACGTTTGAATATCGGCATATGGGATGAGATCATGCAAGGTTGCTTTTCCTACACACACACACACTGGGATTCCGCTGGGCTCTGATTATTGGGAGATTAGATAAGATAAACCCCCAACAGCCTCAATTACTCTGTTTTTTTTTTTTTTGGACTGAAGGTTCAATTGCGTTTGATTCGAACAAAAGAAGACAGAAAAAGAGAAGACAAATGTAATTAATTATTAGCTGAGGTTGGACCTTCTCAAAGCTACACTACGCCATCACATTACTGATCGCTTGATCCCCATTTGAGATCCAAAGCTTTTTTTTTTTCTTTTTATTTATAAGTCATTTTATTAAATTTTTAGTATAAATCTGTTATTTTATTTTTTATTTATTATAGTGTAGATAATTATTTTTTAAAAAGGGTATATATTAAGTAGAAATAACGTTAAAAAGTTATTATATTTGATAAAAATTAATACATTTTAAGATTTTTTTTTTAATCTGTGTGAAACATGTAAGATGCGTAAATACCTTATCAGGATGACATAGGAGTATTTTGGTTTGATTAACTTAGTTTACCAAGAAGATGCAGTTATTAATGGTAATTGAATTTAAAAAGAGAGGGCTTTTAATAGAAAGGAGTCCATTTTAAGTGTGGCCGTGTGGCGGGCAATGGGGGCTCAGGCGCTCAGCTCTAAAAGGCCACTGCTAAGGACGGCGCGTGGTCCATTGTGAGACATTATTACTCCCTCCGTTCCTTATTATAAGAGACATTTGATGCTTATAGCATATTCCTAAATATAAGAGACACTTAAAAGTTGTCTCTACTTTTTTGTGTTGATTTCCTATTTTACCCATATTTATTGTCTCCAACTCACACTCTCTCTCCTTCCCACTTCTCTTTCTTTTAAGAATTACTATGGTTCTCTCTCATGCTCTCTCTCCTTATTAATGAGGGCATTTTGGAAAAAAAAATTATACTTTTTTACACATTAATTGTTCTTAACTAATTTTAACTGTTTTTTTGATCAACGTAATTCGGTTATTCGTCTCTTATAATAAGGAACGGAGGGAGTATTATTTTAAAGCATGCATCTATAGACATAAAATGGATATATGTGTGTGTGACTGTGTGTGTGGATAACATTTAGAAAAAAAGCCCAAATTTATGATAGACAGTAGACGGCTCCTCTACACAGGGGTCAGGGGGTCCATTTTCGTCAGAGCATAGGAGTTTTTTTTTTTTTCCCCCTAAAGTATAGGTATCCTCTTATTAGAGACAATTCTATTTGAGGTACTTTCGGATACTAAATGTGGGCACATTTCCCAGCAGGGATTCGAATATTGGTTCACCACATTGTGAGGGACTGACCCCTTTCGCTAGACCCAATCCTCGTTGCACAGGAGTTACCCACAAGTCATAACTCATAAGGGAGACTGACTGGTATAATATTACATGGAAAAAAAATATTAATAATTGATATTTCGTCATAAGAAAAACAAAATTGTCAAGAGAAAATGACCAAAAAAATCCTATTTAATTTCAAAATAACAAAAATGCAAATCTGACATGTCATAACCTTACATAATAGTCCGGTCATTTTTGCAATTATCAAAGCCTCCTATTTCGGGCTGCAGGCCAGGTGTCATAGATGGTGCCCATAAGGAAGATGAAGCCATTGGGTGTGCAATTCTTCGTTCCAAATTAGAAATGAATGGAAGCGTCTGTGTTGTGTAGAATTAAAATAGCAATTTGGTGGATGAACCGTGTATATCCGCGTCGCATCAGTGTTTGGACTCTGGACACAATGTATTAGAAAACAATGATTAACAACACACACAGCACTTGTCTTTTTCTATAACATAGCCTATTCATAACATACGTACACACAGAAAAATTCATAGTGATAAACACACGTATACAATCTTGGGTGTGTGCTGGAAAGCCCCAAAAAAAAAAAAACTTGGGTTGAGAGTGGAAGCAAGCAATGCAAGGCGAGGCCTTTTATAAATCGCATGAGGCCTCCATTCTTAAATACTAGCCTTGTTAATTAATTTAGTGAAATTAAAACAGTTTTTAAATTATTTTAAGCTATTTTTATTTATTATTTTTTAAACTAATTTGTTTTACTTATAAATTGATATATAATTTAATGAAGCGTAGCATGTGTTATAATTAAGTAATTTAGTAACTTTTTTTTATCTTCCCAAATCAATCAACTGGGTTTTATATTAAAAACTGTAGGTATTATAAGATTTAATTTATAGATAATACTTACATCAAATTCTTTATATCCATTATATACTATATATTTTATTTTTTAAAATATTAGTATTAATAAAATTTAATTATAATTTCACGTGAAATTTTTTTTAAAAAAAAGAAGACACGTTGCCGTTGATGAGGATGATGTTAATGCAGAATTGGCAGCTTCCGGCTTCCGCATAGCTCTAGAAACAAGAAGGCAGTTAATTGAATAAAATTGAGAAATAGTAGTAATTGGAATGCAGAGAGACATGCCAGTTGGGAAGGGAATTATAAAAGCAAGGAGGGTCAGAGAAGGCGATGATGTTGCCTCCTCGTCTGCTTTGATTCAGACTTTTGACTTTGACCACAAATTTTAAAACCTAATAGTCTTCGCCCCTTCATCCATGTGACCTCATGGCCTTATCATTCCCCTCTTATCTTCATCCCTTCATTTCTTTTTGCTTTTGAATTTAAATGTTTTAACTTTAATTTCTTAAATTATAGGGTAAGTTATAATATATCCAATGGCGTATATGATCATATATAGAGAAACAGGAGGTTATAAATCTGAGTTGAAAATGTGTGTCTTTGGAAATTCCAGGTGCATAGCGTTATTATTTGACCGGTAACTTCTTTTTTTTTTTTTTTTGCCAACATTATTTGACCGCTAACAATTGTTTGAAAAATCATTCTATTTTATCTTAATCAAATCGCATTTGTGATTGCGATATCTTTTTTGAAAAAATAAATAAAAAAAGTTACGGAGGCACGCGCGCGAGGTTAGGGTGAAACCTAATGGCCAAGGGTGGTCAAAGCATGATGAATGGTGTTTGTGGGTGGCTTCACTGGCTTTGTTGATAATGGAAGGGTCGCTTCCCCACTCCGTGTGCTTTCCAGTTTTTTGCTTTTGGATTTTTCGAAAACAATCAACCCTAATTGGACACCCCCGTATACTACCTCCTCCGGTGCTAATTATAAAAACTAATGGACTAATTTGAGAAGATTAAAAAATAATTAAATTAGTTACTTGTAATGAATAAATGTTATCTTTTCTAAAATATTCTTATTAATCAAGTGTATTGTCTAGAACTATCATTATTAGAAGAATTTTTTTAGAAAAAAATATATAAATACGAGAGACAAAGTAGATTGAGATCTTATATTTAAAACCAAAATAAAAATTAAACAAGATCTTATATTAATTACCGGAAGAAGTACTATCATAACCAAAATAACATATTACCATCCCTATATTAGGCGTTCCTTCTTTCTCCCAAAGAGACAATAGCCACTTTTTTCTTGGGGGATGAAATCTGGAGATCTTGTTATGAATACAACGTGCTAAATGATATTTAAAATAAAACATGACTCCAATACAAATTTGATTTGATTTGAAAGTTTTCACTTAGCAATAATATTGTTTTAAGATTTTTTTATTCAAGATTAACCCACAAGTATTAAAATTGAGCAATATTGTCATCTACAGTTAGAAATATTAATAATTAATATTAATTTTTTAATGGGATGAGATAATATTGATACGGTTGTAAACTTTCAGGATATTATTTTTTTTAAAAAAATTAAGAATAAATTTGTATCTTACTTCATAATATACAGATCATCATATTACATAATATTAATTTTATAATATTACACATATGGGGGAAAAAATGGCGAGCACAAGTGACCCTTTTACTTGGAATCAGGGGACGCCGTGAGCGGGGGTGGCCAGATAAGGACAGTTGCAGAGGGAGAGGAGAGAGATTGGCGAGAGAGATAACTGAAGCAAAATAAGCAAACAGGGCGCCTGCTCCATCTTCCTCTCGCAGTCGCAGACCGCTTCCTTAATCTCTTCGACTTTTTTGTATCGTACCACCTGGTCTCTTCTCTTTTCCTTCACCTGGTTGTCGTTCTAGTTGTATCCACCCCCACCAACATTTCTTCCCCCTCTTCTTCTTCCTCTCTCTATATATATACTCACATATCCTCACGCCTTGATAAATCATAACACCCATCTCCGATTTGCTTCTATCCACACCCTAATTCCCAGATTTTTCACTCATATTTACTCAATTCAAGATGAGTTCTGATCCCCCTGCCGCCGCCGTCAACGTTGGTGTTCCTGTTCATACCTCCTCCCGGAGACTGCCCGACTTCTTACAGAGCGTCAATCTCAAGTACGTCAAGCTTGGCTACCATTACTTGATGACCCATTTGTTGACCCTCCTGTTGATCCCGCTTGGCGCCGTCATTTTTGTCCAAGCTTCTCAGACGAACCCTGACGACCTTCGCAACCTCTGGCTCCACCTCCAGTACAACCTCGTCACTGTCATCGCCTGCTCCGCTTTTCTGGTTTTCGGATCCACCGTTTACATCATGACCCGACCCAGATCCGTTTACCTCGTGGACTTCTCCTGCTACCGCCCCCCTTCGCATCTCCAGGCGAAATTCACTCAGTTCATGGAACACTCGAGGCTCACCGGCGACTTCGACGAGTCCTCCCTCGAGTTTCAGCGTAAGATTCTGGAACGTTCCGGGTTAGGGGAAGAAACGTGCGTTCCAGAAGCTATGCATCACATACCCCCCAGGCCCTCCATGGCGGCTGCAAGAGAGGAAGCAGAACAGGTGATGTTCGGAGCATTAGACAACCTATTCGCGAACACTCACGTCAAGCCCAAAGACATCGGAATTCTCGTGGTGAATTGCAGCTTGTTCAATCCGACGCCGTCGCTTTCAGCGATGATAGTGAACAAGTACAAATTAAGAGGGAACATCAGAAGCTTCAATCTGGGAGGCATGGGATGTAGTGCAGGGGTCATAGCCATTGATCTGGCCAAAGACATGCTTCAAGTTCATAGGAACACGTACGCCGTTGTGGTCAGCACTGAGAACATCACCCAGAATTGGTATTTCGGGAACAAGAAATCGATGTTGATCCCAAATTGCTTGTTTCGCGTTGGTGGGGCTGCCATTTTGTTATCAAACAAAGAATCAGATAAGAGAAGATCCAAGTACAAGCTTGTTCATGTGGTGAGAACTCATAAAGGAGCAGATGATAAAGCTTTCAAATGTGTGTATCAGGAACAAGACGGAGCAGGCAAAACAGGGGTTTCTCTCTCGAAAGATCTCATGGCCATTGCAGGTACCTCCGCTCACATTAATTGATTCCATCTTTTCTGCATGGTTCGCCTAATAATAGATATGAATATGTAAAGAACGTTTGTTTCAATCAAAGTCAAGAACAGATTAGAGCAATGAATATTGGCAATTACAGGAGGAGCACTGAAGACAAACATAACAACACTGGGTCCTCTGGTTCTACCAATCAGCGAGCAGCTTCTGTTCTTCGCGACATTAATGGCGAAGAAGATATTCAAGGCGAAACTAAACGCATACATACCAGACTTCAAGCTGGCGTTCGATCATTTCTGCATCCACGCCGGCGGGAGAGCAGTGATCGACGAGCTGGAGAAGAATCTGGATCTTGAACCGCAACACGTGGAAGCTTCGAGAATGACGCTTCACAGATTCGGCAACACATCGTCGAGCTCAATCTGGTACGAATTGGCATACACAGAAGCTAAAGGAAGAATGAGGAAAGGGAATAGGGTTTGGCAAATCGCGTTCGGGAGCGGATTCAAGTGTAACAGCGCTGTGTGGAAGGCTCTGCGAAACGTGAAGCCATCGCCCAAGAGTCCATGGGAGGATTGCATCCACAGGTACCCTGTTCCGATTCTTTCCTAAGATTTAATTAATTAAATTGAAATTAATATAATTACTTGTACGCAGTAGTAATCGATTGATCATTCGTGATTGATGATGGGGTTCTATGTAGGATTTATTGCTTCTCATCACAATCCCCAGCTGTATCATTACCACATTATTTTGTTCACTGTTACGCAGTTTTGTGTTCATCATTAATGTGTTGTACTATTATCATGCATGTATTTATTGATTTTTTTTTTTGCCACTTTTAACGTCAGATTATGCGCATTTACTTTTGCGATATTCAATTGATGGTTTATTAAATCCGTTGGTGTAATGTATTTAAAATTTCAATTCTTAGATAAAATTGTATTCAGCTCAATGAAGTAAAATATAATATACTTAGATGTGATTTCTCGTATATATTATACTGTTTATAAATTAGAAAGAATTATAATAAGATCCCAAACAATTTATAAATTAGGAAGAATTATAATAAGATCCCAAACAAAAAAACAATTAAAAAACAAGTTTCAAAGGTTGTCATTCTTACTGTAGGACTTGTTATTATAGGCTGTTGAGAACTTGAGATTGTTATTGGGATCTTTTGATAATTATTTTTTTTATGTGAAGTTTGATTGTAATTCTCCTTGTAAATTATAAATATAGTGTGACTTGTTAGTTTTGGACTCCAAAGTAAATTTACTATTGGAGGACTGCAAAGTTGTGTGGATTAGGGGATGTCGTTATTAATTCAAGAAAGGCGGATTACGGTATAAAAAGGGCGCCAAAGTTGCAGATCTGTTATGATGTCAATCTTAACCCTTAAGCATATCAATATGAAAAAGTGTTCATTGTCAGAAAAAGTTCTTTTTTTATATATATAAAAATTAAAAAAAAGAAAAGAAAAAAGGCATCTTCTGTTGCAACTTAATTGTAAAAAAGCACATGGCCAGCCTTGCCCTTCACTTATGTACGACTTTCAGGCTTCCATTCCTCCATGGCTATGGTGTGCCCTCCAATTATTACCATCCAGAATGAGATTCCGCTGTCATTCTCTTTTCATTTTCATTTTTTTTCCTTTTTTGACGCACAGAGGATAACAAAAATACCATTCCTTCAATTTTTTTTTTAAAAATGGAAACAACAATATTGCTGATCATCCATGAATATTACAGCATTCTTTTACCAATTAACAGTGAGTAAAGAAAGCCTTCCTTCATTGATTCAACTCATGAGGCTTCTCCTCCTCCCCATGTTTCCTTTCTTCAAGAGACGCGTGAATCTCTATATTAACAATTATTGAAAAGAAAGATTAAAACTTATTAAACAATAGTCTCAAAGACGTAATGCCATAAAACAAGGTATTCATGATCTTGCTTGATCGAAAAGCAAGCAAGCAGAACTAAAAATTATAATATTTTCTTGCCTCCGAACAGACTGCATATAAAAATTAATTGTGGAACCCAATATGGAAAAAAAAAAATTATTTTCGCCTCCGCCGCATGATAAAACTTGATAAAGAAGAGTGTAAATGAACGAAGAGGTGGGCCGCGAGTGGCTTATTAGGCAATCAAATATGGGTCAATCCCTTGAGGGAAGATCGATTGGGTTGATGGCCCAATGGTCATCATTGGAGGCCCATTAGAATGGAATTGGGCCTTGGTAGTGATGCCCACTGGAGTGACAGACCGAGGGTTTCGGCCTACCATTCTCTCATTAAAATCAAGGGGCAGAAGTCGTAACCCTTTGGGCGAAATAGGGAACGGAAACGACAGAGCCTTATTAGTTTTCCGCAGGGAATGATGTGTTTATGAATTGGATTCACATTTTCATGCAAAGAAGAAAATAAAATATTCTAAAAATTGTTAAAGGATAAATTTTTTAAAATTTCAATTCAGATCTTTTGAACTATTTTAAAATTTTCAAATCCTATAAAATTACTCAGATGTTTTACTATTTTTTTTTTTAAATATTGTCACCTCAGCACTTCTGGCCGTTGAAGCTCCAGTGCCACTAACCCTGCTGGTGCCCAACCGCCGGTTGCTGGAGCTTCAATGACAACTCTTTCTTATATATTAATTATTCTTTTTTAGCTACTAACTACATTTGTTTTTTGAATTTTGATAACTACTCTTATTTAACTACTGACTACTTTAATATTGTGACTGATTACTTTTATTTTTTAAATTTTGGTGACTACTCTTATTTAGTTATTAAATACTTTAGTTTCGCTATTGATTACTTTTGTTTCAAAAATTTAAAAAATATATTAAATGTTAGAAATCTAGTTACTTTTTATTTAATTATTTACTACTCTTATGTAGTTAATAATTATATAAAAGTAGTTATCAAAACTTTAAAAACAAAAGTAGCTAATAGTTAAATTAGGATAGTCAATAATTATATGAAAATAGTCAATGACAATAAAATAGTATTATCATTTCATAATATTTTAAAATTTCAAAATAGTACAAAGAGTTTGATTTGGGATTTTAAAATTCACTTATCCTAATTTGTCTTTTAGTATTTTTGAAGATATTTTAGTGTCTTTTTTTTAATTTTAATATTCAAACTCAGGCACATTTTTCACGTATTACGCTGCATGAGGCTTGTGAGTATTACAAATTACTATGAATTTTTAAATTTCTTATCCGTATGAATTTTATTTTGCATTTAGTAGAATGAAGTTTGTTGCTTCTTGTCAAATATTAATTTTTTATGTTCTTATGAGTATTTTACTATTAAAAATTATACTATCGAGGCTGCCGGGCCACTTCGCGTCTTCGCCTCATATTCCCCAAGGCAAAGCACTCGGCAGTTTTTTTTTTTTTGGCCAACAAACCACTCGGCAGTTGGTAATGTAGTTGTGTCCAAAATAGAAAAGGCAATTACCCGTGCAGTAGTATAGGAGGGTGAAATTAAAAGAATTTAATCAAGAAAATAAAACATAAATATCAAATTAAAAATGAGAAAATTCTAGATAAAGCCTTCCGAATATACATAATTCTAGATTGAGTTCTGGAATTGTATAAATGACAGAGAGGGTCAATAATCCAATCTATCATTTGTAAAATTAAGAAGAATCGACAATTTTGTCCTCATCTGTATTCATTCACTACAATAATTTAAGGAATCACTATAAGAGTTTAGGTGTTACCTAGATTCATGTAGAGAATAATTACTTATTTTTTCATAGTCAAGAATGCCACATAAAAAGGTGCCTTGTTATTAACTACAACTAATCATGTAATTACTAGAACAGTGTAAATGTTACCTAGATTCGTTTAAAGAATAACTACTCACTTTTGCCTTCATTTATATTCATCATTACAATAATTTAAGAAATCACTATAAAGATTTAAGTGTTATCTAGATTTATGTAGAAAATAACTACTCATTTTTTCATAGTCAAGGAATACCCCATGAGAAGATACCTTGTTATTACCTATAACTTATCATGTAATAACTAGAACATTTTAAATGTTACCTAGATTCGTTTAGAGAATAACTACTCACTTTTGCTTAATCAGGACAAAATTGTCAATTTCTCTTAATTTTACAAATAATAGATTGAGTCATTGATCCTTTCTGTCATTTACACAGTTTCAAGACCTAATCTGAAATTATATATATTTGAAGGGTTTTATCTGGAATTTTTCCATTAAAAATTGAAAGGAAATATAAGGGTGTGTTTGGATAGAAACCAAACCATGGTTTCAGAAATGTTTTTACGGATTACGAAATAAATATGTGGAGAAGATTATCTCATTTTGAGAAAAAATGCTTCTGAAACCACGGTTTGGAGATACCCAAACAGGCCCTAAGTCAACATGTGTCGCCCTTCAAATTTCAATATTTTTTTAATTTTATTTCTACTTAGTATACAATATCAACGTAATAATAATTGCCGACTAAAGTTGTATGTTCATCTATAAGATCAAGTTTTTCTTTTGGGGCCTGAATTCCAAACAGCTAATTGACGCGTCCCAATCTAAAATGATTTTTAAAGGAATATCTTTTATTAATTAGAAATTGTACACATTTTAAATTAAAAATCTTCCCAAGCCGTGTGACATCCTGCATTCCTGGATTCCTGAATCCTGATTCGCGCTTTTGGTCTTTTTCCACAGAAGTGACCCCCACAGATTGCAATCAAATAAGTGATTTTATAATTTACAAAATAAATATATAAAAAAATTATCTCAATTTGTAAAAAATACTTTCCAAAAAACACTGTTTTCCTAACACCCTCTTAATTTGTAGACAGAACGCGCTATATGTGCCGCCATCTTAAAACCCTGCTTCGCATGCTCACCAGTTAACAGAGAGACTCCTTTCATTATCTTCTTTTTTTCGTGTGCCCAATATTTTCCCTCTCGTATCGTGTATTAACCTTGACTTCTCCTTGTCTGCTAAAGGGGTTCAAAATCAGATACCCATAAGCCCCATGACGGCTGTTAAAACCGGTGAGACTAGCGAATACTTTGGTTTGCCCCCAAGATTTCTGTCAAGATATTATTCCCCTTGGGGTGTAATCAAAAATTTATGCTTCAGGATATTCTCAGGAAGACCCTCTTTTGGTCGCCTCTTAAACGACAGATTTTAAGCGTCAGAAGCCAGCCAAATCCAACGTAAAATAAACCAATTATAATAGTGCTCTGAAGAAATTCTGAATTTCTGACTATATTGATCGCTTATAAACAGCCAGTACACAATTCAGAGGTCAAAAAACGAGAACCACAGGAACACGAACCCATATCGGAAATATCGGAAACCAGGACATCGGAACAACCAGAAGTAACCACTAGAACAGAACTAGAAACCCCACCCCAACCCACAGATCCCTCGAACTCGGAACTCAAAACAGCTGATACTAACGACATCTGAGAAGCCTAGCTCCTCCAGCTTCCGTCAGAAGCACCTCCGCCTCTGGAGTACCGAGATCCACCGTCGCCATAACCACGGTCACGCCCACCGCCATAACCACCACCGTAGCCGCCGCCGCCGCCTCCACCGTAGCCTCCGCCGCCGTTACGGTTGTATCCACCTTCACGGCGGCCTCCACCCCCGCCCCCGTATCCGCCTCCACCACGGCTATATCCACCACCTCCGTAGCCTCCGCCACTGCCATACCCACCGCCTCCACCGCCACCTCGGCCCCGGGATTGAGCCTCGTTCACAGTAATATTACGGCCATCAAGGTCCTGGCCGTTCATTCCCTCGATAGCATCTCTCATGGACTGCTCAGACGAGAAGGTTACGAATCCGAACCCTCTCGACCTGCCAGTCTCGCGGTCGTTAATAACCTGTATCAAAATCCAGAGTCTCGCGTCAGATCTAGCACAAAGAACACCAAAACCAGATCCAGCAAAACCAAAGGTAATAAAACGCATCAAAATCGATCGATCT